CTTGACTTTTCTCTCTCTTGTCGCCTCACTCTAGATTTCTTTGTTGTGCACAGTTTGTCCATATTCAATCTCTCGAGTGATGGGAAGTTATTCGGGACTCACCAGTCCCGACACCAGTCCGGACAAAAATTAAAAAATAATAATAATAACTTAGGTATTTTAGGAAAATGAATGAGGAGAGGAGGACCATCGGAACCCTGCCCTCGGTCCTGCCTAACAAGCCCGCGATCGGATTCCCTAGGAAAACCAAGGGGGATAGTCCCGCGGGACCCTCAACCCCTCGGTTTTCTCTGGCAATGCGCTCCTCCGCTCCTCCATTGTCGGCAACTGGTTTCGATCCCTGGATCTTCGTAGTGTTAGTCCAAAGTCATAACCTATAGGGCTAGGCCCAAGCTTGGAGGTAACAGGCGCGGACTTGGTTATGAAGACGTCCGTTTTCAGGCCTAGGCCTGTCCGATAATGCTAAAAAGCAGTTTCGTTGGCTCTCCGACCATATCATAGGTTCCTACATACCCGGCCCTGCTGCATGAAGGGGTCAGTTTCACCTGCCGCCGTCGTGTATATGACACAACCGCGCTGTTACTCAAACTTTCCTTACTAGGCTGTCTACCCAAAAAAGCCGCACCTTTACCACCTAAGCGTCGAGAGAAGAAAAAAAAACCGACTTTAATAGTGCCGCCCGCGGCTCCTACCATTGACCAATATCATGGTCGGCCTAGGAAGTCCCGCACTTTGCACCTCACTGATCCTAGTGCCGTGGCCAATAAGCCAAGTGGATTCGATGGCTAGATCTTAGCCCAGACCGGCCAAATGTCGGTCTCGGACACGAATCCGCTCCGCGTGGGCTACTGCAGCCTTCTCACAACCTTTTCCAAGTTCACGTCAGTAGGCGCAGGTGTCGCTCTCATAACCAAACGTCCGCCTAAGTACCGTGTGTGCCCTCAAGGTGCACGCCCACACACTCTCTAATCAGATAAAAAACTGAGTGTCATTCCCAACCTCTGAGAATTGGTCGTGGTCACTTAGAAATGGGACACTCTCGGATATCGCTGAAAACGCATCTTCTGTGAGATGCAAAATTGTGCCCAAATACCCTTGTGGGTATTCGGGCCGACAATTCTCCGAACACTATCAAGCGATGTCCCCGTCGCGTCGGGCTATCAAAACTATAAACTCAACAGAATCACATTTGTTGACGAGGAAGTAACCAATCCAATTCGCCGACCCGACTCCGTTCGAGATATCTTCTCAACCTGCCCCTGTCACGGTGTTCCACTTCCAGGGTTCTAACCTGGGTCTCCCATATCCTGGCCTCGAAATTACGGGATACTGTGTTCCGCACTACAGCGTAATATCCGCTCCCAGGTAGCAGGTCAATAGTCCTCTCCCTTCGTCCTAAACGTCGCCAGTTTCTCGTTGGGTGTCCTTAGCATAGCTATGCCAGACCGGACACCGGACCGAATCCGGACCCCGGACCTCCCGGGCCCTTCCGGAGTTCCGAGACACCGGAACATTTTGAAATATCCGAACGATCCGGACCCCCTGTCCGGATTTTGGTCCAGATCCCCTATAGTGTCCGAAAAAAAACAAAACAAAAAAAAAGAAAAACACGGCTGTACTCCTACTCCTCCCCCTCCTCCTTCTCATCGTACCTATGGTGTAAGGGGTGCGTGTGTATACAGGGCCTAGCTACGCCATGCGCAAATTAGTGATACAACACATGCACTTTTTTTTCTTTTTTTTTTTAAAGGGGTGTGTGTGTATACAGGGGGAGGGGGGAGAGAGAGAGAGAGAGAGAGAGAGAGAGAGAGAGAGAGAGAGAGAGAGAGAGAGAGAGAGAGAGCAACCTCAGCAACGGGTCCCCTTAACACGGCTCAGACGGCCCATGCAAGCTATCTGAAGGGTCCACACAGCCATGTAGTGCAATCCCCCCCCAAAATCGAGGCAGACAACACATATGAAGTAGAGCATGAGCTGGCCGAATATATAGTCAAGATTAGAGTTCAGGACTGTGTTTCTGCAGTTATGGGTTGCTCGCGTAGCTAGGCCCTGTTGACCTCTGCACGTGACTCTTAGGGCTTGGCTGCACTGCTCCCGAAATGTGCAAAATTAGAATGAATCTTTTGCAGAACGTGGAATAATACATGTTTTGTCTTTTGTGCATTTGGTGAGTAGAGGCCCTTAGGGCCATTGCACGTATTCCTAAGAAAAGAAAAACGAGAAAAGAAAAGAAAAACGAGAAAAGGAAAGAAAAACGAGAAAAGAAAAGAAAAACGAGAAAAGAGAAGAAAAACAAGAGAAGAAAAGAAAAACGAGAAAACAGAGAAATAGTGACCCATAACCGGGATGTACAAACCTGAATTCGAATCCAGACTATATATTCTCCGCCCACGCTCACGAAGTACAAGTTTGAATTGTACTTCTGCATGACGTAGGGTCCTGGCTAGTACGATGTAGGGATCCTACTGAAAAGAGGTTGGAGCCAACGAGGACAGTTTTGGGGTATGGTGTGGCCCTTACTTTTCTCCCTCTTGCTTTCTGATTTTCAGAAGCGAGGAGAATGTTTGGCCACCCCACGCTGTCCTTTCAACTTTTTCATTTTTTTATTTTTTTAGTGCGCCGCCGCAAGTATGAAAACAAGAAAAAAACAAAGAAAACCAAACCCCCTCGTAGACTTTTCGGGTCGTCTGGATCGTCGGTGAGGGTGGTAAAAAATAAGGCACTATTTTTTTTGGGCGGCCCAGCGCGTGAACAAATGCCGCAGACCACCAAAAAAAAAATTGGCCATTGGGCAGGGGCCCTCTCATTCGGACCAAGATCCGGACCCGGACCTTGGACCCCGGATCCCGGACCACGAACAGTCCGGATCCCTGTCCGGTGGTCCGGATCGTAGCCATGGTCCCCTTAGCCCTGATCCCGCGAATGAGCTCACGACTTCGAACGCGGGCCCTAACCGAGACCTCTCTCAAATATAGGGGCACCTCAGTCCCCACATCAATATCTATTATACTGAAAATACCCATTCTGGAATCTAGCACAGGTGGGTTCGGTCTCCATCTTGGCCCACCGCAGATCGGTTGATCATGCCGATTCTACAACCCATCGCGTTGTTATTTTAGCGATGGTGCCCTCGTTGGTTGCACAACGATAGGCGGATTTTCCTATCTTGGTATCCCAAAGGATTTCGACTCCAAACTTAATCGATCCTAATGACCTTCCCTCGAGCTAGGCCCCTTTGAGTGGCCGACCCTTCAAGACCTAACCTTTGGTGAGTCATGGGCCCGCTGCCAGGTTGCGCCAGTCAGCAGCCCACACTGGGAGTTACGTCTCAATGATGCCAAGTATGGCCCCTTAGCCCGGCCTCTCAAATATATCCCTTAGACTGACTTCATAGTGGTCAAGCATTCTTATCATCAAGATCTCTCAAAATTTTCCAAGCAATTTAAAGGATCACGTACCAACTGCCCACGGGACTACGTGGAGGGATAGTGCCTTCTCTCAATCTTCAAATGATAAGGGTCGTGACCCTTCCTACTCTGATCACAGTAGGTTGGGCCACACGTCTTAGGGATATCTCTCAAAATTTCTTCCAAAATTTCATCATGAATGCCACAAAATTCAAGCAATAATTCTCACAAAATTTCTGGTCTTTACTTGTTAGACTTTTACATCACCAAAATTGTCCATAATCTTAGCACCTCCTTTGGGTGCTCTCTCTCAATATCATTCATGTTTTTGGGGGTTAGCCAACCTTCGGGCTTCCCTCTGCACACAAAAGGCACAACTTTGGTTGTGACATTCATACTTATCATTACTCAAGCCTTTTCCAAGTTACGACATAACAATCTTTCTTGAAAACAAAAAGGTGCATCCTCTTTCATTTTACTTAAGGTTCATCTGTTGTTTGCCAGATATACCTGAGTGCAAAGAAAGACCTTGCAATTCAGATCACCGCAAAACACGTACACATTACAAGAGTCATTCACATGAGGACAAGCTCACAAGACTGAGAGTAATTGTGAAAATCCGCACAAAACAACACCTGAAATCCATACAAGTACACAGGGTCTAGAGCCTTGCGAAAACAAGAGTTCCTATCGATATCTAAAAAAGCCACAAGTATTATGCAAGGTAAGAAAAAAAAATGTCAAAATGTTGAAAAATCAAAGTTGCGACATCACTCTGATATGTGTCTCATACATCACACCCTAAAACTAAGAAAAGCTTTGAATATACATACGAATGTCATCAAAACACTTTGCGTTACTGAGAAGCAGAAAGGTCAGAGGGGCTACTTTCAGTGTCACCTTTATATACATTTAAAGTTGAAAGTCCCTCGTGACTTGGTCACTCTATCACTGATGTACATGGGTCTGATCCAATCCTCCATGTGCTCTTCTGTATACAATAATCCATCAGGACTGAGTGTCAGGCCTCTCTTATCTCCTAGCTCTAGACCTTTCCAAACCCTAATGGAAAACACTACTCGTGGTCACTCATGACCCGCTATAACTGCCTATACAACTCTGCCCTCACCCCATCACGAGTCTTTGGCACCAAGACTCCATTCCTGTCTCTCCAAATCCCTGAGGACTCCCTTGTGGCCAATCCATCTGCCTCATCCTTGAGACTCTTGGGGCAGTCGTCAGATCGATGCTTGCCCCTCTTACAGTAAACGCACTTCCCAATCCTCTTTTGAACCACCTTATCTTGGTATTGCGAATGGACAGACAAGGGGGCTGCTGTAACCTCGCTCGTGACCTCCTACTGAGGAATCCCTGAAGAAGTAAGACAGGCTGCTTTGCCGTCTGTCTGTGCCCCCTGCGCCTCCACTTGCCCCTTTGGCCCAAAGCCAGTGGCCCAAGATCCCAACGCATCCTCCAACCCTGTGATAAGAGGCATATGCTGAGGTGTGGCTAATTCCTAACAACCCTCCTGGTCTCCCCTCGTCTCAGCCTCAACCATGACCTGATCTGTGCTCTACTTTACTTCTTGCATACCTACCACCTCTGCTTCTGTCGTAGGCATAGCATACTCAACCTTTGCGGCCTCCCCTGACTGCTTGTCATCCTCAATTGTTGGCCCTCGCTCGACTGCTAAGGAAGTAGGGGCCTGCCACTCAAATTTTCCACCCTCAGACTGCTTTCGTGCCAGTATCTCATCTGGCTCCATCATTAGCTTGTCCAACAGAGGAATCTCCTCTCCCTTCTGCTGTTCACCTCCTCCTTCCTTCTTCTTGGCTTGGAAGAGCTCCTCAGCAGGCTGCCCTCCGATCCCATAACTCTGTACCTCTGTCCAATCCACCAGTGCAGTAGGAACCTGGCGCTCCACCTTGGACTCCATGTCCTTCAATCTTCTCTCCCACTCTGCCTCCTTTGCCTGGGATGAAGCCTGTTGGGTCTGGATATGCCTCCTCAGTACCTCACTGACTTGGATGAGGGTCTGATTGACCAGCTTGAGGGCTCCATTCTCTGCCAACATGTCTACCATGTCTGTTTCTATAGCCTCCACCTCCTTTCCTTGCCTTTTTACTTCCTCCTTCAGATCTTCAATCTCTCTTTCCCAGTCCACCCTCTGACCATGAGAAGCTTGTGCTACCTTTGTCACTCGCCTCCCTATCTTCTCATCAGATGGCTTTGTTGCTCCAAACCCTTCCTTCATGAGACTCTTCAGGCTAAGTAAGTCTGTGGAGACCAACTTAACCCCTATCTCCTGGCGCCTCTCTGTGGGTCTGCCTGCAGCCTCCATCAACCTGTCAAACCCTTCCCAGACCTCTGTGAGTAGAGGAGGATCATCCTTCTTTGCAGTCTTCTGGCCTTCCACCTCTACTGGTGGTTTTCCCTGCTGCATTTTGTCTCTCATTTCTACCAGATTCTTCAGCCTGATCTGGATTCTGATCTCCTTTTCCGTTGCAGCCCTCTCAATCCTGTCCATCTCCTTCTTCTTGGCAACTTCCTCCTCCTGCTGATCTCGCTCTGCCGACACAGGAGGCTGATCAAGTTTTTTCTCTCGTTCAGGACAATGATCAGGTATCTGATCATGCTCTGGAGGTGGTTCTGGATCATCTGAGTCTGGCTGATCAAGTTTTTTCTCTGGTTCAGGATAATGATCAGGTATCTGATCATGCTCTGGAGGTGGTTCTGGATCATCTGAGTCTCCTCTTTGTGCTTCGTTAATTGTCTGTCCTTCTTTCATTTCATGCCTGTGAGTTGTGTACCCCTTCCTTCTTTTCCCCTCTCCTCGTGTCCCATGGGGTGCTTTATGTCCAATTGCTCGTCCCTCTGCTCCTTCTAGCTCTCTCCTCTTCCTTTCCATCCCTCGCCTGTTTTCTGCTTGCCGCTCGAAAGTATAGTAGTGCCTCAATAGGCGCTTGCAGTCGCCCCGGTTTGTGGCCCTCCACGATGGTCCTGACAAAACACCTGATGGCTCTCCTCACAAACTGGATACACCCTCCAACTCTCTTCTCAGGCAAAATGTTTTGTTCATCTGCAAACAGATCATAAGCCCAAGGGAACTCCTCCAAGTTGGAGGAGTCGAAGCGAATAGGCGATTCGTCTCTTCCCACAGGCGACGGGTGCAGTCCCTCCATCTTCCTCTCAAACTCCTGCCAAGTAAGCGACTCCCTGGCGAACCTCGCAATCGGCTCAGCCCACTCGCCACTGACTCGTACCTCTGTCAGCATCCTAGTCACTCCCCAACCATGCTCACTGGCATGAGCTTCAAACCTGGCCAAAAACATCTTTACACTCCCTCCATCGAAAATAGGAGACCTGCTCTCTCTGGTGGTCTTCTGCTGCCCCCCCTGTCTGGTAGTCCTCAGTGGGGCTTCCATCGGCCTTGCCCTGCCCTTCCCTCTTGGCATGGCTGTCAAGCCTGCACAACAAGAAAGAGACAACAAGAGCGCAGGGGGTAAGCATGTCAGACAACTACAATAAGAGACATATATAGCCCTCCCATAACTACCTAAATACTTATACATATATATACTTAACTCTATCCTTATTCTATCAAACCATTCTAATCTAACAACTTGCGTTTCTTCTCTCTGCTATACTAAGGCCTTCCCCTTACAGCTAGAACCCACATGGCTTGCCAGTTCCATGCTCACCTCATCTCGTGCCACAAACTTCTTCAATCTCGAGCCAGATACCTAGTCCTTCCATGTCGTTTCATTCATCTCCTCGATCTGGTATGCCCTATGCTCGCCACATCTCGCGATTCTATACGGCCCTAACCACCGCTTGTACGTCAACACCGTATCTCCCACCTTCAGAGGCTCCTTCCTTGCTCGTGCCAAACCTGAACTTATCCTTGGTCCGACCATTGGCCACTCTACTCGCCGCCTCTTGAACTCTATCTGCTATGGCTTCAGTCTGACGTGCCCTTAGATCGAGCAACTCCTCAAAAGACAAGGTCGTTTCGAGGTCTTGTCGTCTCGAAGTCTTTAGGAAACTTTCTATAGGGAACGTCGCATGTATGCCATACCATAGTGTAGCCCACGCGTAGTTGGTACTCCTTTAGACAGTGATATTCTCTACTAAGAAGGCAACTCTCAGGAAATTTGGCCACTGATTAGGTATGTTATTTGTCCATTTTGCGAGGAGATTCGTAATGGTACTGTGTCCTCTTTCCACTGGTGCGTTAGCCTGAGGGTGTGCCGCAGTCGTATACTCGGCAATCACACCATATCCCTTCAACAGCGTCTTCACTTCTGCACAAGTGAATTCAGACCCCCTGTCCATTACGAATCTTGAGACGAAAGGATAGCGAAGGTAGTATTCTTCAATGCACTGAGCCAATACCTCTCCTGTCTTCGCGCGAATAGCCTTGCCATCCACAAATCTTGAGAGATTGTCTATATATCTAGGGTGAAGTGGTTCCCTAGGTCTAAAGGAAGACCGCTCTTAACATGGTACACAAGACTTACAATAATTGCCAATCATGTGTCCCATGCCATCCCAATAATATAAGTCGTGAATCATTAAGTACATCGCATTTGCGCTCCCATGACCACCTGCCGTTCCATCATGAAGGGCGGCCATAACGTCAATCTGTCGATTTACGCCACAGACCACCCTTCTGGGATTCCTTCCTTTACTTCTCATGAACAAATGACCGTCTCTCACCAAGAAATTTGGTCGCATTTTAAGGACTGTTTCGCTAGCATCTCTTTCTCTTATTTCACATGAAAGGAGCATCCCCAGTTCCAGATATACTCCGTCATACTCTTCTGCGCGAAATGCCTCTTTTATCTCTCCTTCTTCAAAATCGTCATCCTCTCCTTCGTGGACCACATTATCTTCCCTATTTTGCCTTTCCTCCTCAATCCTAGCAACTTCATCCTGAAGCAGCGAGTTTGCCAGAAGGTACATTCCACCTATTAATCGTTCTTGCTTTTCCACCTGCTGGGGTCCGTTCTCCAATGTGACCAGATCCTCTCGCAACTGGTACTTGTCTGCCAGGGCCAAATCCATCATCCATTCTACTCCAGGTATCCCCCATGAATCTTCTTCGATATACGGCTTGAGGACTATGTCCGGCCGTCGTACATGACTTGGAGATGCAAGCCATATGGGTCGTCCAGGAGTAATATGTTTCCCACGGCCAGCGACCAGGAGTTAATGTGGAGACTTACATCCTCTTCCTTGTCCAAAAATCCATCGACTGGCGGAGTATATTCGACTACCCCTTTGTTACTCTTATCCCAGTCGACGCGACTTAACCCATCTACCATATTTTTGTTTCCAAGAATACGCTCCAACTCGAACTCAAACATCCAGATGTATGTTAGCCAGCTGGCAATAGTTGGGTCCGAAGGGGTGTAATTCTTAAGCGAACCAGCCAAAGCAGTCGGGTCAACTTCTAGGACGAACCTTCTGCCGAAGAGGAAATTTTTGAAAATTCGTCAGCAATGAAGAACTGTCAAAGTCTCCCGTTTAAACTGAGAGTAATTTCTCTCAGTTGTGTTAAGCGTTCGACTTTCAAATCTCAAAGGTCGTTTTTCTCCGTTACAATATTTCTGAATCAATACACCTCCCAAGGTATTTGGTCCATCATCGGTCTCCACAATAAAAAGGCCTTGTTAGCATGGCGGCATGATCTGGTACCCCCAACACTAAACCCCCTTCCTCAAACTCTTTCTTTAGGCTTTTAATTACCAACTTCTGCTTATCTCCCCATTCCCAATCCTGACCTTGGCGCACAAGCTTTCGCAGTTGCTCTGTCTTAGCCGCAAACCCCTTAATAAACACCCTCCAAAAACCGCTCGTTCCCAGGAAGCTCCTTACTTCCGTGATTGTTTCGAATGGTGTCGGCCATTCGAAAATCTTGTGGGTCGTCTTAGTATTTGATCGATGACCCCTCTCGAACCCTAAGATTGTCCCTCCACACATACAATGTTTGGATTTGGATCCACATGCAGTGAGGTTATGCTCTTTTAGTAAGTCTAGGACCTTGCATAGATCATGCACATGATTCCAGACAAACCGTCTAATCCCTGGCATCACCTTCTGCTCATTCTTCTCCTTTGACCATTTCACAACCAGATCATCAATGTATGGTTGTGTAATATGAGGACTTATCGGCTGCATAGCCCTTACCATATGCCTTTGAACCATTGCGACCACATTCGTCCATCCTTGTGGTGCGACATTCATATGAATCAGGCCCCGAGGAGTATGCATCGTCGTTATAGGTCTGTCTGACGGGTAAACAGAAAGCTGGTCGCAGAATATAGATCTATAAGTGAAATTATAGATCATCCTGCGCAGGCTTCCGAAAGTGCATCAGCGTTCGGCAGACCACCTGCGTCCCTTACAGTCACAACATTTAATCGCTGCAAATCTTGTACCCATCGCAAAGTCCCATTTTCGCGAAGCAAAACCAAGGGGATGCATATGGTCCACTCGAGTAGTCTGACACATGCGTGCGGATCTTCCCATCAAGGTATTTTACCACTTTTTCCTCATCAGTCGGATTGGGATATCGCGCACCTCATAGGTTCCAAGGCTCATGTGGCACGGTATGTATCCGAATCATCGAAATCTTGTCAACATCAACACGGCCACGTTCGTCATCATTGAAGGCATATGCAGTATGTCTTCCTCTTATGGTCTCCACCATCAACTTTCGTTCTTGCTCTGTAAGAAAATACGACTCTCCTATTATCATTGCCTCTTTTGTTTCCTGATTGATACGACATGCTCCACTTTCTGCATTTTCACGCATTCGCCGTATCAACTCTCGTTCCCGCTCGTAATAAACCTCTTGTTCCTCAGTCACGAGCACAAGAACAGGGCGACATTTTTTATCTATCCTTTTGTATCGCCTTTGTGACCCTTGCTTGAGCCTACCCCTAAAAAAGGCGGAGTTGTACCTTGGGGATGGGCTCCTGGCGGTTCTCCTACCCTTCCGGGCACTCTATATACCAACTTCGCTTCTCCTTCTCCCATTTGTTTCATTACCTTCTCTTTCAGGGCCTCTACAACCTCTGGGTCCGCCATCCCGTAGGTCGATACTATGTCCATTGCATCGCCTATACTTGCTAAGGGTCAGCGCTTCCAGCTGTCTTTTCCCTTCAAACTCATCCCTTCGCAATCTTCTTCTCTCCGCTTCTGACTCTTCGATCGTGAAAGAGCCAAGATTGGGCCGGTTCCTTATACTACGCGGCCCCGTATTCTCGCATGTGATAACCTCATAGTTGCCACACACTGGGTCACATAAGACGAGAAACATTGTCCCGTCATGCTTGTTAAGCATGAGGGTCTCTGTTCTGCTCAAGAAGGATCAACCGAATAGGATGGGATGATCGACATCAGGCATTGTAAAGAAACAACATTTTATCTTCACTTTCCCAATCTCCAAAATAACTCCCTATGCGATCCCCACAAACACTGACCGACAATTTGCTCCCAGTAGAACTCCATTATCGGAGCGATCAATTTCCATTTCCAAGCGCAAAGCATGCTCCTCCTTTTTTGCGCCAGTATCCACCATCGCCGTGCATGTCTTTCCTTTCATCCAAGCACCCACATGTGACGAACTTCCAATCCATCTTCGTGCCTGTCTCCGCCCATTCTGCTTCCTTGGGGATTATGGGCCCCAGACGCACGCTAGCCACTATTTTTCTGCACAGTCGTGCTTTGAGTTTGTCTCGAAGCCTTGTTGCTGAAGCCAGAACATCCTTCGGGTTCATAAGGTGATTATGGCCCTCAAGGATTTTGTCCATCATTTCCTCCACATCATACCCGTCTTTCACTTCTCACATCCAAGCACCCACATGCGACGGACTTCCGGTCCATCTTCGTGCCTGTCTCCGCCCATTCTGCTTCCTTGGGGATTATGGCCCCCAGACGCACGCTAGCCACTATTTTTCTGGATAGTAGTGCTTTGAGTTCATCTCGAAGCCTTGTTGTTGAAGCCAGGACATCCTTCAGGTTCATAAGGTGATTATGGCCCTCAAGGATTTTGTCCATCATTTCCTCCACATCATACCCGTCTTCCACTCGGACGGTGTACTTCTTCTTCTTCCCTTCTGGAACTCTGTCTGTGTTTGTCTTAACAACCCTCTTTTTGGCCCTCTGCTCGACTCTCTTATCCTCTTCTCTCCTCAACCTCTCATCCTCCTCATCCTCATCCTCCAGGATGTCCACAGTCCCTTTCTCCCCACTAGGCACAGGAACATCTTTCGCTGGCTCATCGGAGCTCACTGGCCCCTTAGCCCTTGTCCTGACTGCCTGTGGCGCCCTTCCCAACCTTGACCTGAAATCATTACACCTCGTAAGTTCTCAGGCCCTCCTTGCGCTGCTGGACCCATATCGTGGAGATATAACCAACGGCCTTTACCTTTCCATTCCCTGATCTCCTCACACATACTGGCCAATTTATCTTGATATCTTCCTATTTTTGCCACCAGATCCTCCATTTTTTCCATCGTCCTTCTCGCCTCAATCCAACCACCTCTTTCCTCCTTATCGTCCGACTCTACCACAATAGGCTCTTCCTTCACAGTGCCATTTTTTCTCTCTTGCTCTACCTCCTCGTTCTCTCCTATTTCTTCCACCCTCTCATCAGGCTGGGCCTCCTCTTCTTGCAAGATCCGGAACATAGCCGGAGGAGCGGATGGCATGCCGGCTTCAGCTCGTCGCAAAGCCACCTTTCTTGTTCCTCCAGGAGTCTAAGGGTCAATGTAATATCCAAACTTATCGTACATATGGCCATCATAAATTGTACTAATCAACCCTTCATCCTCGTCATTTCTGCGAATATGGCAGAACTTAATCGTATGGCCTTTCTGCCCACAGTGCCAGCAAATCGCATTCTGCCAATCTATTCGTCCTCTACCTCACCCACCTTCTTAACTTCCTTGACTCCCAAACGCGTTCCAATCCCCGTTTCCTCCTCCGTTGGAGTTACCACTTCCATTTCCTCTGCCGTCGCCTCCTCGACCACCATTTCCTCGCCCTCGACCCCATCCTTGACCTTGTCCGCGTCCGCCGCTTTGATTTCCTTGCGATCCTTGCAGCGCCAATTGTTGTGGCTGACTTGGTTGCAGGTTTGGTTGACTCATTTGTTGAAATTGGGTCCTGGACACCCACAAGAAGCCCTACGTAATGGAGCCCCCGTACAGGGTCCATGTTGTCCACTCACCGCTCATGGTGCGTATGGATTATACCCGGGCCAGGAGCTTGAGGGTCCATAGCCCGGCCATGGCCCATAGGGTGATGGCCAAGCCTGGCCATGTGACTCAGGCGGTGGCATTGCTGTTGTTACTTGCGAACCTTGGCCTCTTCCTAAGCCTTGTCCTCCTTGGGCCAAAATTTTGGCCTTCCTCTGTGCCTTCGTTAACTTCTGAGGCTCAGGTTCTTCCCCTTCTTCTTCTTCTTCTTATTGTACCACTGCTTTCTTCGCCCGTCCCTGGACCTGCGTTACTGTCATTACCTTTTTGGCAGCATTCGCTTCTTTTGTAGCTTCAGGTTGGGCCACTACCTCCTCTACGACTTTCTTAAGGTCTTGGCCGCTACTTGTCGTAGCGTCCATGGCCTTTCTCTTCTTTCTTGCCTGCCGCATTTGGAAGAGGTCTACTTGGTCCAATTCCCCATCTGTTATACTTTCTTTTATAGTAGCCCATGTCAACTTCTTTCCTGGCGCACCCTTCTTGGTCAGCGCAGAGGCCTCCCAATTTGTGAAATGCCCTTCTTGGTCAGCGCAGAGGACTCCCAATTTGTGAAATGCCCTTCTTGGTCAGCGGAGAGGCCTCCCAATTTGTGAAGTGCCCTAGGAAGGTTGTGGACTGCTTCTCCTCCGCCATTTCTCGCCATCTCCTCAAAGGCCGTCGCCAATGCACCCACAGTGGTGAACTCATTCCGATGTAACATTTCCAGGTCTGCCTTCGTTAGCAGACCATCCCCTAACTTAAAGCGCCTTTGCATTTCGTCCTTGAAACTCACCCAAACCCCTGCTGCTCTTGCAGCCACCTTCATTATCTCAGGCTGAATCTCCCACCAGACATATCTAGGCAGCATTTTGAGCTTGTCTGCCTCAGATGCCTCGCTCGTAAATTGCTCGAACATCTCTAAGCATTCAGATACCCTCTCTCCTTTAAACAGGAAGATGTCAACCTTCGGCACCTGTAGCCGTACTAACTCTATTTTCTCTTTTGCCTTGACAAAATCCTCCGGCGTAGCATCCGGGCCCCACTCGATTCCATCTGCGTCGGACATCTTTGTATCCTTTTGTTAAAAACATGTTGGGAATAAAAAAAATAGCCCATTAATAGCTCGTCAACCTTCAAGGTACTTTATCTAAGTCGCTCCCAGACGTTTCACCTCTAAGCATAATTATCCACTCTTCTACTAATTATTGCTAATTATTCAGGGTCATAGATATATTCTTGGTCATACTCATAATCACATACTCTTACTACATACATTATCATCAATATCACGACCCACGTACCATATATGCCTCTCATATAAGACGGTCCAAAGCATAGAGTTTGTCGTTTTGCCTGGATCATGAGCCTGCTCTTAACCTGGATTCACTCACTTAAGGACCTCGGTAGGCAGCCGAGATCCCTGGCAACGGCGCCACCTGTCGTGCGCATCGGTCCTGCAGGGGGACTCTCCCTACCGCGTTACGGAGGATTTTGCAGGACTTCGTCGTGGAGCACAGTTTGCCGCTCCCGCCGAGTGCGCCAGCCGTACCTCTCGCGAGTCCCCACGACAGGACAGGGTCACACGAAGCACTGCTTACCTGCACCCGCGGGAGTTGTCACCATCCCTTGGGTGGGCGTATCCCCGCCGAGCTACCGAACCACGTGCGAAAGCTTTTCGTATGCAATCGCAGAGGTGGCCCGACCGAGGGCGTTTCTTGTTCGCCATAGCATAGGGGGTACACGCCGTCAACGCCCCTCAATCGGACCCGCACGCGAATCGACGTCGATCGACTAGGACGTGATCCACTCACCACGCGTTACACCACACTTAAAAATTTAAAACAGACACACACAAAAACAAAATAAAACTCTCCTCTCCTAGTCCCTTAAGTGTCCGACCCATAACCTTTTAACATGGAAATCGGTTAGGCGTCGCGCGTGAGACTTAAGATAAAATCACGCGGGCGCACAACTCTCTTCTATCGACTAGCCATGCAAGCATACGCAAGCAGTCGCTACGATGGAGTACTGTGTAGTACCCAAAATCATGCGACCCTTGATAATCTCAGGGCTCACATTTCAACACTCAAGTGTCGGCTGACACGCGCCTTGAGGGGTTAATCTCTCGACGCTAGACAACCGCCAAGGCAGTTGATCACCACACCCTCTTCTGCACCATGCGAAGAGTGGGTGGTACACAGGTTCCGGCCTATGGTGGCAGCCAACTCTCGTGGCCTAGGAGGCGAGCTCCATCATCCAGGGCCTGGAGAGATATCAAGGGGTTTGACTTTGACGGCTGCCACGGACTACAATGTCCAACCATAATAACTCTAAAAAGCAAAAGCTAAAAAGGGGTCTCCCTTATCTCTTAAAAAAAAACATATATTGTTTTTAACTACTGCGCGCGGTCACAACAGACCGTACGAATACTGAATGTATAATTATATGTAAGCAGGAGTGTATACATATACGCATATGAGGGGTTATAAAATGCTAAGCAAGGGTAGTTCAAATAGTCAAGCAAAAGTTTGGGTTTGTGTGGTATCAGACGATCACTCTCACATCAGTTGTGTGGCTTGTCCATCCGCATTCACACAATACTATGACCATCACCAAGCTCAATTCAAAGATCTTATAAGCATACCTGCAATCGCACAGAGTTCAAACAACAGCATCACACACACTAAGGCGGTCAACTTCAATGCTTTTTGCGACTCACACCCTGCCTTATGCATACAAGCCCCAACCAATTTCCATCATCCCTCAATAAAGGTACTCAGTCTTTAGAACTGGCCACCTAAAAAGAAATCTGGGTGAAAACCCCAAGAAACATAAAAAGCCCACAAGAGCCAAGGCCTTAGATTGAAATGCAGAAGCAGGGAAGTTGTGTCGTAAACCGACGAATCGGCAACCGTCCTCTTATCAGTGATAACAGAAGATGATGCTCTGTAGGATCAGGCTGAACAAGTCAAGCCTTCAATCGAATTCGCAGCCCTGCATCACAGTACAGGCCAAAGAGAGCCACTACTACGTTTGAGCCAAATGGAGAACGTGCTCCATCTCGTAGCCTAGCTCCTCTACTAACGTTCACCTTACCTCCCTCAAAGTCGTCCATAACTCTGGCATCGTCTTGCCAAAGTTTTCCCTAACAAAAAATAATCCAACTCTCCAGATTTCACAAAATTTCGGCAACGCTTCCCGTAGGAAAAATGCCTTTTCATAATTTCTAGGAGCTAAAAACTGACCAACTCTTTTTAGATTTGTAAAAATTTCGGCAGCGCTTCCCGTAGGAACAAGAGACTGCTAAGATTTATACAAAGCTGAAAAATGCAAAAACAAAACACAACTACACTTGGGATCAACTTCTGACACTTGCCTGATAGTTAGGACCAAAGATAGTCTCGCAATCCCTTCTTGAAGATGGCATCGTGAGCTAACACTGATCCTAACTCTTAGTAGGGTCAGTCCTATCTTATCCCAAGCTTTCCTCCCATCATCCATCTCGTCTACCTATGGCTCCAGCACTCGGCGAGCATCTAAGTAGCTGAGCTATCAAAAAGACACCCCAAGTAAGAGCTCACAAGCGTGCAAAAACAAACATCCCTCTTGATCCCACATCGATTTGATTCACGTAGTTCATTAGATCTCTCAATTCTTTTCACCGCCCCAACTTCGGGGTACACCTAACCTGCCTAAGTAAAACAGATAGAGTACGCACAACTAGACTGCCCCAACTTAGGGGTATGCCTAGCTTACATAACAAAAACGTATGTCCAGACTGCCCCAACTTAGGGGTATGCCCAGCCCAACATAAACTGTGAACATAAAGCATATGACCAGACTGCCCCAACTTAGGGATACGCATGGCTTCTGCCTAACTGACGACGTGAGGCATAAGACTAAACTGCCCCAACTTAGGGGTATGCCTGGTCAGCCTTAAACGAAAATTACGCATGGCATAGGATTAGACCGTCGGGGTATGCCTAACCTGCCTAAACAAACACCAATGACGAATTGTCAGACTGCCCTAACTTAAGGGTACGTCCAACCTACATAACATGAACGACAAAGGGGATATCGCTAGGCCGCCCCAACTTAGGGGTACGCCTAGTTGGCCTAAACAACTCAAGTGAAGGCAATGCGACGACAGTTTGAAACAAACATAAATACTTTGGTACAAACTGTATAATTTCCCTTCTTCTTTAGGCAGATAGAAACACCTACCCAACTTAGGGAGACATCCAACCCTACCTCGTGTTTAAAAAGGAAAAATAAAAGAAGATTTATACTAACTCTTTGCTCCTTTATACTATCATGAGCATAAGACTGAACCGCCCTAACTTAAGGGTACGCTCAGTCTGCCCAGGTTACCTTCACTTTATATTCTTCAGTTGTCTCTCTTCTCATTTTGTTCTACCTGACTTACTGACTGGCTTTCCCAACTTAGGGTGCCCGGTCTGCCAGATAATATAAGTTCATATAATATATGTATCAAATTTAATACTTTGGTTGACCATTAAGTTCACAGCTCGTGACTAAGCCGCCCCAACTTAGGGGTACGCTGAGTCTTATGCCCTTGTCCCCCTCAGAAGAAAACATATACAAAACTGGGTCTACGCAACTTAGAATATCCCCAACTCTGTTTTCAGCGACCCAAAAGAAACATCAGGATTCTGAGCCTTCCCAACTTAGGGTGCCCGTCCTCCTATTTAGAAACCCTTGAAAGAAACAGCGATTGATCCGTCCAACTTAGGATAGGCCTAGTCCTAAAAGGTCATATATTCAGCCCAGCAAAGAAAAATAAAACATAGCACTGAACCCACTCAACTTAGAGGGATTCAGCCATGGGTTGACCCGGTCAAACGCATGCAAAACGCCTTCCTCCCGCCTTCCTCCAATTCATTATGTCTGAATTCACTCAAAGTATCTGACTTTCACATATACTTGTTGATTTAACCTTTCAAAAACATGTCCTGACATTAAAAAACAAACAAAAGTAGTAGCCTTCCTTAGTCATGTTCTCAAATATACAATGGGTAGTACATTTTAGGGGATGGGATCACACACGTCAAACGAGATTTATACTTTAATGTTCCCTGCCTCCAGAACCCCGCCTGGGCTCCGGCAGAGCTCCCACAATTGGTGGGCAGACCTCCCACAACGTCTTGATGCGGTCCTACGGGTTGCAATCCCGCCTGCCGCCTTCCTCTCGTAACGTTAGACTAGACTGGTCTGCCCGAGCTGCTCTCACGGCGAGGGCGGAGCCCGCGTGCCAGTGTGCCGACGCGCGTATAATGTCTTATGTCCCCGGGCCGTGGGACTCTCCCTAAGCATCAAACTGCCGACTCAGAACTGGTGCGGGCAAGGGGAATCCGACTGTTTAATTAAAACAAAGCATTGCGATGGTCCCAACGGATGTTGACGCATGTGATTTCTACCCAGTGCTCTGAATGTCGAAGTGAAGAGATTAAAACGGGCAGAAGGAGGGGTTAGAACGCTCGAGATACAAGGATGGGACAGACTCAACTCGCAGGAGAGGGCCTTGAAATCTTCAATCGCCTGAGGGCCCCGCAATGATGGCCAAATACGCAAGTAGGATGGTCAGATCGAGGCCAAACGCAAAGCGACGACGCTTTAACAGACCTCCAAGTCGTGATGCCACTCTCTTTCTGACCAAATCGGTGCTACACATCCTTGAAGGACCGCGTCCGAATAGAGCCTACCTCCCCCGGTGTTTATTAGAAATGCAGTAATAAACAGGAACGAATGCACTACACACCCAGCAACAGAGCACAATAATCTCAATCAGCGCAAAGCGCCGCCATCTCAGCAATAACGAGTTCAGTGGTCTCAACGATCAGTAACCGCAACTTACCAACAATAGTACTCTGTCCTTTAATGCACAGCGGTGGTAATTCGCAGTCGAACAACTGTCAAACCGCTCGGTTCGCAATAGCAGCGGGCCTAGTCGTCGGTAAGAACATAAACTTGCCACCACCTGCCACCGTGAACAACGACGCTTTCAACTCATGCGACGATCACCCAATGCCCTTATTCTTGTCCTTCTGACAAGGC